TTGTAATATAATGTTAGTAAAATATTTTCAGAATATTGTGTTTTTTGTATTTCTTGAACATTGAAGTGGCTGTCCTATGCGATGACAATACCAGCAGTGGCCCCAATTTAAGTTTGAGAACGCTGGTATACAAGTTTATGAATCTGTATCCAGATCTGTATATCATATCATATTAATATAAAAATAAAATCTGTCAACAATCCAGTCTGTAATCTTCTGTGTACTCTCAGAATATAAACACACTGTAACGTACTGTATTTCTGTGCATACATTCCAGTGACGTGTACAGAAATAACATGATTGGTGGATTTTCCTTAAAATTGGGGGCAAACGTTTAGGAAAGTGGACAAAGAGAATCACAATCTCTCTCCAAGGGAAAAGATGTTAAAACGTCACATTACAACAATACAATCCTATGGTTGTTTCAAACTATGAGAAAAGAATACATTTTATATACATTTTATATGTGTGTATCAGTTATTATATATATACACACGAGATACAAGGAATTGTATCACAACATATACAGTCAATGGTCACAACTTATTTTCTAACTGCTTGACACACTGTTCTCTGGCGACATCTGCTGGTCATCTGCAGTAAGACAGATGTTGTATAGTAGATACTTCTCAAAGTCTAACCCTAACCCAACACATATTTTTTACAATTTCTGATTAAAAAAAAAGTTCATGTATCTAGAGAGCAAACTGATATTAAATTTGTGTATAGTAGTCCTCTATGTTGGCAGTAAGGGACCAGTGGCATGATGGGTACAGTACAGTTAACTTTGGGGTAGATCACTTGCGTTAATGCAACACAACTGCAAAATGATTACAAACAGTCATACATGATACATTTTCATCTGTAGAAAATACGACTTGGCTTTATGGAAGTGGTGTCTTGCCAGTATAGTCTGCCAAAGCTTCTCAAGCATTTCAAATCACTATCATGTCAGGGTCATCAGGGCAATTAGCTGATGTTATTGACTTATCACTTCTCAGCTGAGCTCACTCGGTAATGTGTGTCTTTTGCTTCAGTGTTATTGATGAAGTGACGGAAGGACAGGTACACAAAATCTGTTAGTATGACGGACTTACTTCTCTTTTACTCTCAGTAGTTTTTATCACCACACTGTATAGTCAATATGATCAACATTGCTACCATCAACCATCATCACAATAATTATCACCCTTGGCCAACACTCAGCATCAACATTATCTTGATCCTCATGATATTCTTTATCTCCTTTTTGCTGTTTTAACTGATTTCAGTGGGCATATTTCACATTTACCAGGACAGTGACTGGTCAATTATGCAACATCGCTGCCACCATGAGGCGACGTGTAAGAAAAGAGCTGTATTGTAAGAGTGAGAACTACCATAAAGATGATTATTATTTTGTTAGTGTTACAACTTTGCCTGTTTCTGTACTTACATTTGCACATTAAATGCATATAAACTCTAGAGCCATGTTCTATATGTAGTTGATTGAATCAATAATCTATAATCATTAAACAGTGTATAAACTCTATGTTCTATATGTAGTTTGGAGTAATGTAATTGATTATAGATTATTGATTGGAATCAACTACATAGTGAAACATAGTTGGATTACACCTGTTTAATGATTATAGTATTATTGATTGAATCAACTACATATAGAACGATAGCTCTTAGAGTTTGTACACGTTTAATGATGCTATATATTATTTGGCTGAATCAAGTACGTAGTAAGAACATAGCTCTAGAGTTATTACACTGTTTAATGATATAGATTATTGAT